GACGCGTTTCAGAAAGGCGGGGCATAGAGGAGAAACAATAATGTACATTATATGGAAAATAATGTGTTTTTTGAACCTTAAACCACATAAACACATTGCATTACACCAAATACACAAAATAATGTTCTTTTTAGCAACATCATATGACCCCTTTAACCAGTTAAAATGGCTAAATTGTTTATTGCACACTGGCTTCAGATGAGTCTGGTGGTGTCTGTATTTTATTTTACAAATATCCTTGTTTTAAATTTGTCTTTTAATATATGTCATTATAGGTATCCAGTATCAGTCGTAGCCCCGTCCTAAAGCCCCGTTTGAAGGATCCATTGAAGATCACCCTGATCAAAGGCAGCTTCTGTAGTCTTGTATGAATGTGAGAGGATGCATAAGACTGTCCAAGGGTCTGATCAAAGCGTGCACTGACCCGAGACACCAGTCAACGTCAGGTATCCATGAGGACAGAACAGGAAGGAGATCGAAGCGGTCAATACCTTACACACTATGTGTTCTGCGTAGAGAATAAACCCTTGTGCTTGCGTTCGGCCTCTCAGTCCTGTCCCGCTGTGTTCTGCCATTCAAGCATGGGGCACATTGTGGATTTACCTTTGCGAAGGATGTGGCTCTTGGCTGCTCTGCTGGTCCTGTCCCAGTTCACGAGCAGCCTGGGCATCCACATGGATTCGGTGGGCAGTCACAGCATGTTCACCTGCGAGTCAATCGGCCTCCGAATGTGCCAGGATCTTCCCTACAACACCACCTTCATGCCCAACCTCCTCAACCACTACGACCAGCAGACCGCCGCTCTGGCGATGGAGGTAACCATGCTTTTCCTTCTGTCTTATACAGCTGGGAGACTTGTCAACTCGTAAGTACGAACGTCCCAGGAGGACTTGAATGCAGCATTAGAGAAGGTGGCAGGAAAACTAGGTTGCCATGGAGCTTGTTGTCGTGGAAGCTTGTGGTTGGTGCTTTGATGAGCTTGAATAATTTAGACTGAAGGTGCCTCTTGATAAGTGAAATAAGCTTTATTTGATATTTTTAAAACTTAAATGTGAGAGCTGCGGGATTGTAATTGCTATTTTTAGGGGTTTGTTAATGTTATTTTAATCTTCAAGTTGTAACATGCTGTTAAAGTGCATTTTTTAAAATAACTACAGCTTGATCTCGTATAAAAATATAAAAATAATATAAAAAATATATTTATTTTATATTTAAACATTTCTTTCTTAAATTATAACCTACCAAATTTTAACGAAATGAAAAAAAATATATATATTGAACAGTCAGATTATAATGATATTTAAAGGAGACATATTATGCCCCTTTTTTACAATATGTAATATAAGTCTCTGGTGTCCCCAGAATGTGTCTGTGAAGTTTCAGCTCAAAATACTCCACAGATCATTTATTATAACATTTTGAAGATGCCTATTTTGAGTGAAAGCAGAAACAAGCTGTTTTTCGGGCCTGTTTCTTTAAATGCAAATGAGCTGCTGCTCCCAGCCCCCTTTTCCAGAATAGAGCTGCGACCTGCTAAAAACATCTGTTTTGGTTCTGATTATCATGTTTATCGCGCTTAAATCATGCGGTTTAAACCATATGAGTTTAAACTTCAGATATA